CAGGGAAGCAGTAAATTGGGCGAAAGGGGGTTGCTGATGGTCCTGAGGAGTTATTTAGACCTCTTCCTTCATGATGATCCCTTTATTGTTCGAAAAAGTGATAAAAGAAAACAAAGTAAAAAAGAGGACCCCGAAATTTCCCTTGATTCGCAGGCGGTGAGGTGTGGAAAACGCTAAAATAACTGGGCATTAACGACACGAACCTTGCTCGTCATCGAGGGGGCCAGCACTCTGAATCTGGTCCAGATTCTTTACTTCCATTACAGCAATTATGCAGCAGTCAAAAAGCTGCCAACTTATAAGTTATAACGAAAAAAAAAAAAAAAAAAAAAAAAAGCTGCCAAATTGGCACTAGACCAGAGGGGGGATGAACAGTGATGAAGCCAAGCCACTGAAAATTCAGTTTGTCGTTTATGAGAAAATCGACAACTTCCAAAACCCTAAACCCTAAACTACACTGGGAAGGAAATGAAAGCCCGCGATGACTATGGGGCTCGCTCGACAGCTCAGCAAGCGTGCACAATGAAAATGCATTTTCTACTACAACATGTACAGATTGTCAGATACACCGCAAATATTTGTGTCTTCTGTGCATGTGGTGAGCGGTGGAGCGTGGCCCTATTTCAAATCTACAGGTAAAGCTCACAAATCAGCAACAATAATCAGCCAGCCACAGAAAGAAATATAGAAAAACCCTGAAAAACCAATCGGCTATCCACAGGAGACGGAGGCTTGTCACCGCACCACCACACTGGGAAGGATGAAAACCTGATGCCCGGGATACCCGGCCTGGGCATGGGAATAAGTGGGTGTTTTTTTTTCCGTTTCACGATGGGGGGTTTCCGCAGATACCCAGAGGAGCCCAGATCCAGGCTCTTTTATTTTTTTGAGTGTTGGCTGTCAAAGGGGGGGGGTGGGGGGGGAGGGGAAGGGAGGTATAAATAAATTGGTTTTAAAGGGGCTAAGGGGGTTCAAAGGGGGGTGACTTAGTCTAATTCTGTTTTTTTTTTTTTGAAAAAGGAATACAGCTGTCTTCTCCTCTTACAGGGGACAGTTGTATTTTTTACCTACCCTATTTTCTTCTCTTACCTCGCTCTAGCTACATGTATCTATACGTCCCCCGCAAGCCCTCTGCCAAGCTGACTATGGAACAGGATGCGACCACGGACCTATGGAAGCGGGGACGAGAATTAAATTCACTAGGCGGAGCCAAGCTATCCTAAGGTTATGGGTCTACGCCTACCTCTCTCTCTGCTCTATGCGGGGAGCAGTACCCAAGCTCCTAACAACCGGCGCGGGCTGGAAAGAACCATTTACTTCCACAACCAGCCAGGAGGCCCAAGCCAGAAGCCACCGCTGGTGAACCCGAAGCATACCCCGAGGAGGCCGGGGGGATCGAAAGGATGATGACGTTGGGCATCGAACCCACGACCTTCTTTTTTTTATCTTCAATTCTGTGAAGAATTCTGATGTGACCCTCGGCCAAAAGCCATTTGTATTGCAATTCCACAAACTTTTTTTTTTCCCCGGATTCTTTTAAAATCATGTCCAAATTCTTTTGCGTTGGGACTGCCCAGAACCCTGCCCAGGGGCGAACCCCGGCTGAGCACCTGGGTGTCTGTCGGGGCAAAAGTTCGGTGACCCGGCGCACGGAAAAACAGCCTACCGTCTTCACCCGGATAGAACGCCCGGTCATTATAACTGTATTTGGCACAACTTTCGGTCCAGATGGTAGTCTTTCCTCCATAACATTCAGTGTGAAGCGGTTTTCCAAAGGGACACTGGGCGCAGCTTCCGGCTTTAAAGGGGCGTCCTAGCTCCGGTGGTCTATTTCTGACATTTCACTCTGGTGGTCTGAGGGGGACCTTCCAAATACAGCCCATATTAGTCATGTAGACTTTTTGCCAAAGGAACAGTTCAGGCAAGGGAAAAGCAGCAGGGGGTGGGTCAGTAGTACATCCTTCCTCACACAGGAAGTCAATCAAGCAGCAGGGGTGGAGCGCCAGTCTCAGGGCCCCTTGACTATAACAAGATGGCAGCGTTGTGCGTCTCGTGGGTATTATAAGGGACACTGGACCTGTTTCCACTTTTTATTATGAATATAATAACCTAGGCTACCAGTCGGGCCGCACGGTTCACCTTGTTTGCCCGGGTGGCCCGGCCATGCAAGGACCAAAGAAGGCCCCAGCCAAAAAAAGGGAAAAAAAGAATCAAAAAAATATGGGGGGAAAAAAAAATCAAAAAAATATGGGGAAAAAAGACGTTATGCAGAAAAACAAACCGCACTACTTTTGCCTCAGGGTCACATTGAAACTCTTTATCAAATTTAAAAATATAATAAACGTAACTGCCCGGTAAACAGTCGGCAGTGAGGGAGAAGACAACAACAAATGAGAGGCTGTGAGAAACTGTTTCGTCGGAGTTTCACCGACTCATCAGGAGTTTTTAAATTCTTTTCAGCCCGGCCGGGCACGTGGTCCCCGGCCACTCTGGTAGCCTAGAATATAACATTTAACAAACAAACAACGTTGGAGAAGATCCAGAAAGGAATACGAGGAAGGATAAGGTCACACCACCTTTCCTCCAACGCCCATCTTCGTGCAATCAATCATATCACCTGATGATGCCACGTGCCAACACTCTGTCAGTTGCTGCTTTCATGCAGACAGCAAACAAAAATGAAGTGATGTGCAATGATGACGACACACTCAACACTTGTCACTGTTGATGAACAAACAGGGAAAGGCAATGTGCGGAGGCGGAAAAAAGCTTAGTTATGCAGACCACTGCCTTGGAATGCACTCCTCGAATGATCTAGCAAAGCAGTAAACTTGCACGCACATCAATACATGGGAAACTGATCCGCACAACCCAGCAAATTACACGAAGTCAAATGACAACCGCTTGTCGGCAATTATGTTATGTATGGCCCTTGCTCCACTACACAACAGTCTGCATGTGAACAAGTCCAGCATTTTGAATGTACTGGGTCCAGAAAAGCATCCACATGAGTGTAGAGTGTTGTGCAGTGGATCGATGCCCTATAGCTGCAGAAATCCACCCACCCAAATGCCTAACGACAAGACTGGTAGGGGTGGGTTCGGTTAGCCACTCACCCATAGAAAGAACGCACACGCACACCTACCCACCTATAGGTTTAGGGTTTAGGGAATTGTATACACAACAGCATGCATGCAAAATTGAAAATTCCATACAGCAAACCAAGCCCTTCGGGACATGCATTAAAATTGGAACGATACAGAGAAAGAACATTAGTGAGGCCCCTGCGCAAGGACGACACCCATAGATCGAGAAATGGTCCAAACTTTTACAGAAATCTGTGAGCCATTCGCTATCTTGAATGCACATAGCGCCCAAGGCCTCTGCCAAGGACACGTCCACATGAGCATCATCCCCCAAAAAAAAGGACAAAGGGGGGCAAACAGCAAACCAAAACATGGCCAAACAGTACACATACACACATTGCATGCAAACAACGACAACAACAAACATGCATTGCATGCAAACAACAACAACACAACAGCATGCATGCATGAAAAAAAAAAAAAAAAAAAAAAAAAAAAAAAAAAAAAAAAAAAAACCGAGAACAACATGCATGCATGCAAGATTGGCCCAGTGCAATCTGGCTAGATCAACAAACGTAACACATACGTCCGTACATGTCTAGCTACCTTCATCTCAAACCCTGTCAAGAGAAACACCTCTACCAACCCTTGTCATTACCCAACCCTCTCCCTAGTGTGAGGAATGAGCCCTCGCAGGGCCCTTGTCAAGCATGCACATGTTCTGGGCAGAGGCCCCCAGCAAGCCAAGTGCCCGCCCTAAGTGAATGCGGGCCTGAATATTCACTAAAGGCCAAAATTCAACATTTTGCATATGTGGGTACTCAGGATTTTGCAGCCCACCAGTTGGTCGAGTGGACGCGTGAACCTCCCCTAAGCTGCGTCGTACAGTTTGGCCCAGGCCTTGGCAGTTGCGCCTGGGCACATACACACAATACAGGGCCGATACATCACGAAGTGGCCACAGGCCTGCGCAAAAGCAGCACTGTAGATGTACATACCCCGGGTCCTGTGCAAATTCAGCAAACGGCCCAAGTCTGGAGACTCAGGCCGTGCCCAACTGTAAAGGGCCCAGGCCCTCAACTGTAGCACCGGGTCTGGGCGCAGGCACTGGGGCCCAACCGAAAGCTACTGGAAGCTTCCAGCCATGCCACACGCAGCCAAGCAGAGGCTGCCACTTCCATATAGGAAGGAAGGCAGCCAGGGTCAGGCATTCTGGCCCACGCAGGCAACGCGGTCACGCTTCTGCGTTAGAGGCTGCATTCTGCATTGCGACCAGGGCGCTTGCGGGGCGCATGAGAGGTGAGAGGGGCGCTGCTGGGCAGCGGGGCGCTAGCAGCCATAGCCGGGCTGCAGGATGCTAGGGGGTAAGAGGGCAATTCGGTGGTCTTCAGGAAGGAGGCGAGTGTGGGTGGATAGGGTCTGATGAGGGGAGACGAGATACATACGTGGTACATGAGAGAGGTCGGCTATGGTGTTGACGTCATGTATATTGGTCTTCGAGAGTCGAAGTGAGCCTGTTCCGAGAATGCTGATGTAGGTAGGATAGTCGAGTAGTGTAGGCTGGACGCTGGGCGCCAGACAGAGAGGAGCAACTTTGGATACTGTGTTGGTGTGGCCTGAGGGCTCGAAAATTGGCTCATTAGTTCATCTTATTTGGATGGAATCTTAGTGCATTTGTGTGCTCTGCTTGTACACGACTACTTGGACATCTGTGTGATTTCGCAACTTGGCTTTCTGTATATCGTTCCCACTCATATTCCTTGCAATTTGGTATCGGAGCTAGTTCCAGATCGCCACTTACCTGGCACTGGCAACATTGTTACTTGGTGTGCTGACGCTGCTTCTGTGCAGTAGGATACTCTTTGGCGCTAGGTTGATATGGCGTGGCCCAGGTAGAGGGGCCGGCCGCTGGAAGGCTGTGGCGACAGAGTGGGAGCTGTGGCGACAGCGGATGTATGTATGATGATGAGAGCATGCTGATGTGGCATTTTGGCTGAGGTGGCACTGCATTGCGTTGTAGGTGGTACCAAAGCTACAACCGGTCATCGAAATGCATATCGGCTCAATTGGTGAGAAATCTGTGCTTGGGGGCAGCTATGTCCAGGTACGTTGTTCCTTTACGCTATCTACCCTCTCAATCTCTTCTTCGTGTGAGAAGGTGAGTCCAACCTTGAGTGTCCTCTCTTTTGTGTGAGGAGTCGTGAGCGCTCTACCTTGAGAGATGACATTCTTCTCGGTGGCGCATCTGGCAGGAGAGGGCGGTGCCTCTGAAGGGCCCTGGTCGAAGCACGGGTCACAGTCACCATGCCAACCCATGGGACTAGTACACGCACGCCATGCTGCTTCGTCCTTTGAGGCTCTTTGCTGCGCTGATAGAAGGGGTGTGCAGACTGACCAGTCCTTTGCAGACGCTATCCAGACCGTCTATAAATATTTATGGCGGGCGTCTGATCTGTCCACGGGCTGTGATCGCCGTCCTGATTGCGACGTTAAATAATTCCTGAGGACCTTGGGGGCTGTCTTTAAACTGCCTCTTGATCAGCCAGATCAGTCAGACGTAAGGCTCAATGATGGCTACAGGCACATTGGATACAGGGGAGGAAGATTCCAATTGGGACAAACACATATTTACCCATCGTGCATGCATCTGCTCACATAGTTTATTTTTATTTTGATTAGTTGGTAGTTTATTTTTATTTTGATTAGTTGGTTGACAGACTGCTAATACCTCACAGACAGCCTAGACTAGAACTGTAGTGTTCTACCATAACCAGTTCTCTTTGAAGCTGCTGTAAGAGAACTAATCAAATAGATTTAGATTGTGTACAGTTTGTGTGAATGCTGTTGATACCACTTGAACAGTAGCCTAGGTGACTTGTCGGATATTATTTTCATTTATTTATTTTTAGGACCGGTCAGACGCATGCTGCGGTAGGTTCCAGAGTGGACTCTAGAGCAGACAGTGTCTGCCTAGCCGATAGTGGATCAGAAGGTGGTGAATGTATGGCTGACGATAGAAGGCACACTAGGCGTGATTCGCTTAGAATACCTGCAGCGTTCCAGGTTCTGCTACCAGGAGAAGAAAGAAGGCTAAGGGCCAAAGCAAGGGCCCGTAATCTTGAGATTGCCAGGGAAGCAGCGGCAGCTGTAGAGAGGACCTTAGCGGCAGCAGAGGCTAGCGCAGTAGCAATGGCTACCTCTGCAGCAACATCTGCAGCAACCTCGTCTGGTCAGCAGACCAGCTCGCAGTCCATCTCCAGTATGTCAGGGGCTGGCACTAGTCAGATGGCTGGCTCGCAGTTCAGCTCGCCGCCTCCACTCACCAGGGAGCAGATAGAGCTCCAGCAAGTAGAGAGGATCCGCTTAAGGCTAGGGGATGAACTTAAAAAGGCTACTCAAATAGAGAATGAGATTAGGAACAGAAGTCTCAGACTCGAGGGAAGAGAGGCAGACAAGGCTGTGTTAGAGGGGTTAGATGACTCGGCCCTTGAAAACAAGACAAGGATTCTCAAGGCGAGCATCCTGTCCATGCACGCATACATGGACAGTAAACTGGACGCTATCCAGGACACCCTGGACCAGACCCTGAATGCCATGCACAGGCCAGGAGTCAGGACAGCAGTTTTGCCATCGCTGCCATTCTCAGCGATGACAGGCCCGTATCCGCCTCAGTCTGGTACCACACCAAGCGGTACTTCAGGAGCAGCTTTATCTCAGACTTTTGCTTCTTCATCTTCTGGTCCAGCGGCAGGTGCTACACCTCAGCCGGCGCCTGTCTCACCAGTGCGACAGCAGCAACCATGGTACCCCAAAACCCCATTGAAACAACCCTCCACCTTCTCAGGTGATAAGAAAGAGGAGGCTCTCGACACCTGGTTGAGAACGGTTCCAGTGTGGGTAAGGACGAAGAGGAGCGCGATGGCACAACCCATAGCAGGCACAGATTGCCACTGATGGGTTGCTGAAACTTGATGCTAAAAAGTATAAGTCCATGAGTGAACTCACCTCTATCGTAGAGCATTTGATTGTCGTCCCTAGCGTACAATATAATCCACAGGTCTTGTTGACCATGTTCTTGAGGTGTCTTCCCACAGACATCAAGAACTTGCTTGCCAGTGAGGCTTGGCTAGATTATCACACGTTTGAGACCTTTAGCAAAAAGGCCTTAGCCTTAAGGCTATGCTAGGAGGTGCTCAGACACCCTCTACGGACGGAAGGAAGAAGAAGAGTGCACAAGAGTGACAAAAGAAGGGTAGTCGATTGATGATGGTTGATTCCGAAGGGAATCAAACTGAGATCGGTGATGTGTTTGATCTTGTGGACGTTACAGAGTTTGACAGCGAGGATAGCGTTGAGGGTAGCAACCTCGCTGCAGTAGTAAAAGGAAAGGCAGGTGGCCGCAGCAAGGGCGGTCAACAGAGGAGTCAGCGGCAAACCCCCAACCCGAACAAGATAGTGGCTTGGGTTCATTCGGGTTTGGATCAAGATGTGTGGCGGGACCGTTACACACAGGGTGCTTGCATTTAACTGC